TTGTGGGAAAATTCTACTACCAGTCCTTCATCACCTTTGACGAAATAGGGTGAATACATCTCATTAAACATTAACAGACTATTCTCAGGAAACATAGGATTCATGATATGGGTCATCGTAAATAACTTTTTAGAGGCTAATAATAAAGTTGACACTTTAAATCATGTCTTCTGCGCTTAAAGCTGTAGAATTTGTGTCATACAGATTCAAGTTAAGCATGCAGAATACGCATAACTATGGTTGCACTCTACGTTTGTGATCATACATGAAAACTCCCAATTATGAAGATAAGCCTTCTCAAACAAAATGAAAGGTATACCAGTATCAATAGGACTCACAATGGACTCATTAACATTAAATGCATTTACTTATTTTACCTAATGAAGTGAGGTCTTGGAACAAGACGAAGACTTTCTGACGCTATCGGCTGATCAGTTGCAGCAACTTGTCTCTAGCGACAAACTCTGCGTCTCCGAGGAACAGGTTTTGGATGCCGTACTCCGTTGGTTACGCCACGATCCTGTTGGCCGGCAGGCTGAGGCGCCTCGGCTCTGTTCTCGTGTTCGATTCGCGTTGCTGCCACGCGACTGCCTGCTTCATTTGAGCCGAAGCGAAGAGTTTCTGACCGAGCAACCTTGGTGCAAGGATTTCCTGATCGAAGCTCTGACCTACCATCTGCTTCCCTGGGAGGAGCGACGACGTATCGGCTCCGATCGCGTCAAGCCAAGAGCTCCTGTTGGAAGGCCTAAGGTTAGTTGAGGGTTTATCCTCTTAAGGAATGCATAATTAAAGCTAATGATGAGCCTATAGGATTAAATTTATTAATGGGAGACGACAAGGAGGTTAGCTCTCTAAAGTGGCCGGAAAGTGGAACTAGGCCGGATAGAAGTGATCTATGGTGCAAGTTGGTCTATGACAAAGGGTATATCGGGTTTGGAAATAACTAAGCGAGGCTATAAATCCGTTGGCGGAAGTAAGGAACTGGCTTAAGGGATTTGTTATTGCTTTATCATGGGGGTACAACTAGCATTTATGGGTGAATGTATCGTTGATGCAGTCACGTTTTAGATCATTTTAAAAATAGGATTATTGAGATTTTTGACGGGTATGTGTTTTGTGGTTAGTAGACTGAAGGGTAATTATGTTTCCTTTTTGAATAAGCAAATGGGGCTTAATCCTAGCTCCTCGTGTAGATAAAGCGAAGTGGTGTCATTAATTACTGATCTGGCTTTAGGAAAATGAACAGGTTAAGTATGCATTAAGGTCGTTAAGTGTTGCTGATTAAAGTGGCTCAGGTTCTGACTATAGAGGCAGGTCTCGAGTGACTTAGGTGTTTGCACATTTAGGTTTTATTTGTTTTGTGAGGTGTTTATAAATTGGAATTGCAACAAGGTTACTTTTTCCACATTTTTAATGATTACATTCTCCGTTTATTTAGTTATTTTGATTTATGGGTGTGGAGCAAGCCCTTTTTATTGTTTTATTGAATTATTCGCAATTTGGCCGTAACATGTTTGTGGACCTACTGTTTAAGTAACTCTGAGGTATAAAGGACCCTTCACTTTTGGGTCAAAATATGCGCATCTCAGCTGATGATCCCTCTTTCCCCTTGATTTATTTCTTATTTTTCCTTTATAATTTCAGCTTAAAAAATAATTGCCAAATTTATGTTTTTTGATTTCAAGGTGATCATCAGATATAAAAGATTTTGATTTGATGTAATGTGTCTGAGAGTACTAAGATTTCTTCACATTATTGTTTGATGATACTTTAGTATTTAATTGCTTGCTAGCTTCCAATTTTCGTACGTATTTAAGCAAATAGATTTATGCTAAACGGGATTAGATTAGTTCCCTTGCATGTAGCTGCTAATTTTATCGAACTAAATTTTTATCTCATTGCTTACTAGAATCGGGTGCTTTTTGATGGGATATTTGCTTTTACATAATGACAATATATATAAATATATAGGTTTGTGTGTGGAAGCGTTGCTTATGATATTATGAACCTAAAGCCTTGATTAGCAATTTTTCCAAAATTTTATTACCCTTTTATTTTCTCTCTATCTCATATATACATATATATATATATATATATATATATAAAGAGAGAGAAAGAGAAAGCAAAGAGGTAATATAGTTTAGAAAAAATCACCAATTCAGAGAAAGAGCGAGATTGATAGAAATCCTGACAGACAAATACCTCAATATTTTCGCATAAAATTGTCATAAATGAGCCTAGCGGTGTACTGGAGTTTAGGATACTAGAGTGCAAAACTTTTCCCACTCATAGAGTCTTTTTACCAGTTATCTTATCTACATTTGAATTCCTCTGCTATCCGAAGCAAGAATTGATGTCTCAAACTTATTACATAAATAGATTGGGCATTTGTTTTAAATCCTGGTTTACGTCGCTTTATTATTCTCATTGCAAATATCCATAGTAAAGAATAGTGTTAATAATGGCTTTCGATACAAAATATTTAAGGTTGTTGCCTTAGTCTTTTTTAAATGAACTATCTTTATGATGTGAAAATCAAGATGATGGCGCTTTTAGTATGCTCGAGGTGTCCTTTCGTTGTTTAGACATTTTTTGGCCTTACTTTTGCAACTTGATCGCATTGTTACGGAGATCTGGGCAAGGCACCTTGTCCGAAATCAATAGTATACATGCTAATTTCCTGAGTCGAACCATGGACTTGGTACATTCCGAGACATTTCGCTGGCATCGTAAGGATAAAGATACTTGTGTTTTTAGCGGGGTTTAGTGTGGTGCAAAGAATGACAAATATGGATAGTAATTGGATCTCGATGACTCTCTTATGATAACATTATTGTTGGGATTTTCATTTCCTATGAAAGTTTCTGAAGAAGAGATTCGAATTTCGATTCCACCAGAAGAGGACGGTTGAATCAAGTTGTATTGTAGCCGTTTGGCTTTTATACGACTTTGATATTGACGCGGTCGACGAAATCTCCTTCCTCTTTTCTGATGAAAATGGGCTGAGCTTTTGTCCATCATATAATGGACATCATCAGAGCTGGGACTCGTTCTTGTAAAATTCTCAAGTAAACACTAAGAAAAAATACATCCGGCTCTATCTTATCTCTTGTATAGTCTTATTTAAGCATTGATCGATACAGAATGGTCTTGTTAATTATCTTTATTCTGGTCATCTTCTTTTGGATGGCGGTTCAACAATTTCTGTCTACCTTCAATCTATCAATAAAGCATAAGTAATTTTTACTCAACTTTCTACTACCATTCTTAATTTTCAAAGTATTTCCTAATCTATCAATTTCAATAGCCTCTCTTATCCTTCTTTTAACCACAGACGTACCATAATCAGAAACCTACTAGTTTGAGACCATTCTATCTCGTCCAGTTTCTACTGTGTGTTTGGCTACTTGCGACGGCTGAACCCGGTTTTCTGG